GCGCCTAGCCTTTAGCCGAGCAATCAGTGTCGGCAGAAGACAAGAGGGGAGAGCGTTGGACTTTAATAAAGTGACTCAGCAGAGCCGCGGCCACTGGAACCTGCTGGCCTCTACACCAGTACTAAACACTCATATATACACAAGAACATACCCACACACACACACACACACACACAAGAGCTTCAAATATCCATCCAGACCCAACAGCACATGACTACAGACTTCTTTAGTCCTGCCTCATTTTTCCCCCTCATTTGTATTACGTTAACCCCTTAAAATCTAAGGTTTATTACATCTTAAGGCTTATATAGTAACTACATGAACTACAATGCAAAGAAGAGGGTCCTGGACATTTAATCAGGCCAGATGGAGGCACTCAATCTTGTTGGCGGTGAGGACAAGGGGAGGGGGTGGGGGAGGCCTTAGAAAAAAAAAAAAATATAATAATGACATTAGTGATAAAATGAGTCACAGGTGAAAATCTGACATATTGAAGCATTCTGCTATTGGTTCGTTCAGCAAACGGATGTGCGGTACCCCTTGGGAAAGCGCCGCAAGCACGGTAGGAGAAACTTCTGGACATTACTATGGCATGCACACATTGCTTGCGGTATTCTGTGCTGGACTGAGGGGTTGATTGCGGGTTTGTGTGTTGTGATTGGTCACCTGCCCTGCTTCTTGGCTATTCAGCCAGAGAGATCTGGGTAATTTGGAGTCCAGAGCAACACTTTGAACTCTTCGTCATGTTCCTTAAATCATTCCTGAACAATGTGTGCAGTGTGGCAGACTGCATTATCCTGCTGAAAGAGGCCCCTGCCATCAGGGAATACCTTTGCCATGAAGGGATGTACCTGGTCCAGAACAATGTTAAGGTCGGTGGCACATGTGAAATTGATGTCCACATAAATACTTGGACCCAGAGTTTCCAAGTAGAACAATGCCCAGAGCGTCACAATGCCTGAGCCAGCTAGTCTTCTTCCCACAGTGCATCTTGGTGCCGTTACTTCCCCAGGTAAACGGCACACACGTACCCAGCCATTCACATGACGTAAAAGAACATGGGACTCATCAGACCACACAACCTTCTTCCATTGCTCCACGGTCCTGTATCAGTACTCGCATCCCAATTGTAGGCACCTTCGATGGTAGACAGGGGTCAGCACGGGTGCTCTGACTGCAGCAGGGTGTGATGGACTGTGTGCTGTGACACATTCCTCCTGTAACCATCACTAAAAATTTCTGTGACTTGTGTCACAGTAGCCTTTCTGTCATTTTGGACCAGACAGGATGGCCTTTGTTGACCTTGTGCATCGATGAGCTTTGTGCTCCCAACACCCTGTTGTCAGTTCAGGGTTTGTTCCTCCTTGGACCACTGTTGTTGGGCACTCACCACTGCTGACCAGGAGCACCTAGACCTTGCCGTTTCAGACATGATCTAAACTAGTCATCTGGCTATAATGATTTAGCCTTTGTCAAAGTCACTCATGTGCTGTTGTTATGAGATAATCAACGTTATTCTCTTCATCTGCGAGTTTTCATAATCTTTTGACTCATCTGTCTATATTATATCTTTCAAAATTTATAGTGGTTGCCAAAATATAAATTGCAGAAAATAAAAATTAATAATTTTATAAAGGTTAATTTATGTTGAATTGCTGGTAGGCTACAGAGTGGGAGAGAAAAAAGAGAAAGTGGATGCCGCACTTGATGTCACATCAGTGATTAGTTATTTTACATCCATGTGCCATGAGTCAAAATCTAATGGTGGGGAAACGTGAGGTGTAATCACAAAAGATCTCTGCATGTTTTTCAACTATTAATTACAATACTTTTTTTTTTTTTTAAAGGAGAATAAGGTTCACAAGTAACATAAGCTGACAAGAAGACAAAATAGGAGACAGTAGGTGTAAGACAGAGTGAGGTACATGTACTTGTTAGCTAGCAAGTGCAAAGAACAAGAAAGAAGAGAAGAATCAGTTCTAAAGGCACACAGGTAGCCTGTGGAGAGATTTTAGGACAGTGTTATTACACTGTTGTAGTTTGACCCTTCAAATATTCTGTAGTTCCAGCCTGAAGCATAGCTATTCATGTGTTGCTACGACTGCCACCGTATAGCCCACAGTGAGTAGTTTACTCAACTACAGCTTTAAAAGGCAGATTCAATTTAAGTATCTCTTAATAGATGTTATTTCCATCTACTGCCAGATCATGAATTGATTACCCATGTATGTTGAGGGTGAAGTATAATTTACAAGGAATACATACCGATGATGCCTGCAGCATCAGTACTATCAGTTAGATAGTAACGTGAGAATCAGAGGACGCCGGCAAACTAAGCAAGAAAATTAAGTATCTAAACGGCGACTTTACAGGGGAGGGCATAAGGTTCTTTATGTTTTAATGAAAGTTAATATAAAGAGATTATATTACAAGCAATCTTGGAATATTTCTGTTGATTTTTACACAGTGTAAAAGGTAGTGACAATTTATGTCTATTGTAAACAGACTGGTTTGGGGGCCCCTCCATATAACAAAAATCCCAATATGAGGTAAAACCCAATTGTGACACTGCTTTTAGGTAGTTGTTTTAAGGCACTCACTGATGAATCAGATGAATCAGATGAATTAATTTTGAATAGCTGACAATTGAGCTGTTTTCATTTTGTTGTCGAGGACTAAATGTTAGCTGTCATTGTCACTGCAAGTTAATATGACAGACACTATTGTTCGAAATGTAAAGTTTTATTGGGTCTTCAGTTATCAGTGATCAGCTTCGGGCACACACACACACAGTCACACACACACACACACAGAGGGCTGTGTATCACTTTAGAGTGCTGATGTTAGATCAGACTTCCATTTTCTCTCACTCTCACTTCTGAAGAGCAAAAAAGGTTACAGATATTTCAGTTCTTCACTTTTGGTGAACCAGGCTTTCTTAAGCCTCTCATGCTCACCCCTGTGAGTATAAGAGGCTTGAGCCTGTATTCAGCTGACTGGTCAGTTTCTCTCTAAGTATCCTAGGGATTTTGTGCGTGTGTGGCTGTGTTTGTTTTTGTACATTTTCAGGACAAAAATGTCTTGATTTTGTAGCAACAATAGAGAAAATCTGGGCTAACGAAACAGTCCTAACTTTGTAAAGTGCTTTTTACGAAAGCTCCATGTCTCTTTATTTAAACTGAAGGTATTAAAACAAACTTGTGTGTTGCCCTACTGTGGCAAAGACTCCGTACCACATTTAATACATCAGAGCTCGATTCTGAATCTAAATCTCAATCTTGAACTCATTCATACACCAATAAAGAATGCATTCACACTATGTGTTTATGTGTAAGTGATGGGGTGAAATATGGTCATTCATAATGATTGCTGTTTCTAGAGGAACACTGCTGTTTCCAGGTTATGATTCGCGGAGAAAGAGGAAACAGAGTGTTTCTTTTAAGCCTCTTTTCTGAAGTGAGGCATTTCCTACACCTTCTAGAAATGCAACAAAGTGAAAAGGAAAGTAAGCTGGCAAAGGCAAGAACCACAAAGCCCTCCTTACATCTCAGTGTTATTCAACCACTCTAAAACCACATAGATCATCCACATATCAGTTTGACACATTTCATACAGAAATATGATCATCTATTCAGATGATGAATGGTAGTCTGAGACAATTATACTCCAGAGTTGAGGGGAAAAGTTCAGGCTATGAACTGCTATTTGCTTTAAAATGGAAATGAAGAGTTTAGAAGTCACAGCCACGCATAATGCATATTTTATACCTGAGCAAACTGGCAAGAATAATAAGATTCAGTTTTAAGCAGCAGTGGGGTAAATAACATGTTAATAACACTGCACTACACACATACACTAGGGTTGAATAATATTGGGGAAACATTTACACTGCAATATTTTAGGTTTCGGTGATTAATATTGGATTATTTCAAAACAAAAAAAGGAATAAAAGATTTACCCAAGTAAACTATAACCAAATGAAGCCAATGATCACTGTAGATTGTACAACAGAGCAGATGGTGGTTGTGTATAGTGTAGTGGATAACACCTCTGCCCTCTATGCTGTAGTCTGGGGTTCAACCCCCTGCCTGGGCAAACACCCTACACTATACCAATAAGAGTCCTTGGGCAAGACTCCAAACACTACATTCGCCTACCTATGTAAAGTGATCAAACTGTAAGTGGCTCTGGATGAGAGTGTATGTCAAATGCCATATATGTAAATGCTTAGAGAGTGAATTAAGGCAACAATATTCAATATTCTGATGATCTGATGGACGGGTGTTTAGACTTGACTGATATATAAAACTTGACCCCTGATATAGGTAAAGTAAAGCTTCTATGAAAAACAGTGCAGTTAATGCACTACATTTGAGCATTTATCGGTTGATTGTAAAAATCCATGAATGGAAAAGACATTTTAAGGTGTATTTCAATGTGAAAATGCACCAGCATTTAAGGACACATTTTCAAAAAAAATACTATGGCCTATAATTTGCTTAGTGGTGCATTCCTATAAAATCCATTTACAATATACCAAAAAGAAATTAGAACTGGCCTTCATTTTTTTTTTTAAGCAACGTTATTTACGTTTGCTGGATGATGTGAATGCCTCGATTTATCTAAACACCCATAGAACACCTGTGACTTGTCAGGATGCTCATAGCAAACACAAAAAAAACATTTAGTAACGGGTATGAGGCTCATTTATATATTACAGACTACCTGCGCTATAATGTCACTTAATCTGTTGCTGTAATAATGATTAATGACTGATATTCTGTGCAGCCTTACATGAACTCAAACACATCCACACATGCCCTCTCCTCAATCCTCTTTAAGTTTATAAGTTATGCTCTTAAGCTGAACTAAACTTTTCAGCTATGTGAACAATTGTAAATACCCATCACCTAAGAATAAACCAATGAAAAAAAGAGAAGTCGACGACCAAATGAATAATTACTGAGGCGCTGGAGTTTTGAGACAGAATATGAACGTACCTTAGCAACTGTCTCGTGGAGCCTGAAGGCGGGATCCAAGGTCTCTGCTAACAATGACTCAGAGGGGGGAAAAAAAGCCTCTGAGACGAAGCGGACTCTCTAGATTTAAAAGAGAAAGAGAAATATGGGGAGTAAAAAGCATGAGCCTTTCAAAATATGACTGATCGCCTTTCAAAACCAAGCTACCGCAAAAATAATATCTTCTATTACCATAATGGGCATTTCAAATGTGCTTCTCAGAACAGTAACACCTTTAAGCCCCTCATTTCTACACCACACTCCTTTTCCCTTTCAAAGCGTCACCTGAACAGCTCCTACAGCCATAAGAGGCATCATTATGATGTATCATTGCCATTTCAAGGGCCACAGAAACCCAGCAATACGTACTTCCCAGCCTGAGCAATACAAACTTGTAAATATGAATGCTTCCGTATCCCGAGCGCCATGTAGCCTCTCCAAATGTTTCCCTGATCTGAAAGTTTAACAGTATTAACCCCTGTAGAGGATTTCCACTGGGATGCTCCCTCCAGAACGGAGGGAGCCAGCGTGAGGCAATTTGCTGTCTGATGACAAATCGGAAGGTTTTGGCACGAGTGAGTCACCAAGGCCATGAGTCACCCGTCTGACAAAAAAAAAAACAGAGAGATCTTTTTTACATCCTCTCTCCTTTTTATGCTGCAATATTTTAAGTTGTTTTGATTAATACTACAATATTTGTAAACAAAAATGGATAAACTGTTCCCAAACAGAGCTAATAATCACTCTAGCAATAAAAAGGATGTGTTTTGAGAAGGAATTAAGGCTATATTTCAATATTCTGGTGAGAGTTGCATGAGAAATTACTAGGGATGAGCAATCAGATTCTGAATTGTACAGATGTTTAAATTTGTGAAAAACATTTGAGGAGTTTGATGTGAAATGCATCAGACTAGTCTGAACTGTTCACAGCAGTAATAATAGGAGCTAGACATCCAAATCATTTATTGCCTCTAAAAGCCAATTGACAGAAAGCTAGCATTACGAGGAATGTTCCCTAAGTCCAACATATTGTTTTCTGATACTTTTAAGGTAAGATTTCATTCTCAGACATGCAAAATAGTCCGCAAGTAATTTCAGAATTTTCACAGTTTTTAAATGATCAACATCACATATGAAAACATAAAAAAGGAGATGTGCAGGTTCACTGGTCATTTTGGATAGTAAAAAATAATGGCTATTTGTGTCATAGACATCACGACCCCTGGTTTTCATCATCACTACAGTAAAGAACTAAGTCATTACGTTTCTCTACACAGCAATACATTTTGCGCCACTCCAAACCACTTCAACACACACCAAGGGCCTAAAGAAAATAATATGTATTGAAAACACATCCCAGGCTTTGGCACGTGTTGAAAAGATGAGGGCGCCACGAGAAACCCACCAAATGATGGCTTTTTTTCCCCTCCTCTCCCCCTCTCTTCCTTTGTACTGGCCATGCAGAGTGGGACAACAAAGACAGATCCGCATAGAAGATTAGAAGCATTAGATGCGGCGCCACACTGCCCACACCACTCTTCATCTCTCTGAAGAACAGACCTTGATGTTTTGAAGCACAATGGCTCGCCAGGGACTATTACTCAAACATTTGTGAGGAGCCATCTTACATCGCTTGATACATATGATCTCAGACAAACAAAAGGCAGCAGAGGACGTTTTCCATAATAATCCCCTTCCTCTAATAATACTCTTCCGGAGGCCTGATTGTTCATCAAAAGTCATTTTCTGCAAAAGTGCATGTCCTCTTATGGAGCTGTTCAGTTACAAGAGTGCTGAAGCCATGCTCTTCATAGACCAATTTGAATGAAACTCCATTACTCTACTGAGATCTGAGAGCAGACTAAAGCACTCAAGATGGCTTGTAAGTAAATGGCCTAATCTCCTGACCTAGGTGAAGTGTGACTGGGACTGTGCTGAGGTTACTCAGGGGTCCATACTCAGCCCAGTTAACTTGTATCTCATTACTGACCGATTAGGTGACTATGGAGCTGTGAACAGCAAAAAATGCTCCAGATTCAGAATCAGCTTTCCTGTCCCAGGAGCACTATGACAAGACAGTGGCTGCTGACATGCAGTGCTGCGAAAAAGTATTTGCCCCTTCCATATTTCTACTGTTTTTAAAATTCAGCTGTCTGGAAAGGGTTACAAAGCCACTGTTAAGGCTCTAGGAACCAGAGTGAGAGTGGCCGGCCTACCAATATTTCACCAAGAGCACATTGACGACTCAGCCAGGAGGTCACAAAAGAACGCAGATGAACATCTAAAGAACTGCAGGCCTCACTTGCCTCAGTTAAGGTCAATGTACATGATTCCACAATAAGAAAGACACTGGATAAAGACACTGGACTGGCATCTATGGGAGAATTGCAAGGCACAAATCACTGCTGACTAAAAAGAACACAAAGACTCATCTCAAATTTGCCACAAAACATCTAGATGACCCCCAAGACTTTTGAGATAATATTCTGTGGACTGATGTGTCAAAGCTGAAACTTTTTGGAAGACATGGGTCCTGTTTACATCTGGCATAAAGCTAACACCACATTCCACCATAAGAACATCATACCAACAGATCCACCTCTGAATGGCCCAAAAGAAACAAAACTAAGGTTTTGGACTGGCCAAGTCAAAGTCCTGAATCGAATCCCATTGAGATGCTGTGGCAAGACCTTAAATGGGCAGTTCATGCTTGACAACCCTCCAATGTGGCCGAATATAAAACAATTCTGCCTCAACGCAACTTATCGCAAACGTTTGCAGTTGTTAAGAGTGGCACAACAAGGTATTAGGTTGGGGGGCAATTACTTTTCACATGGAGGATATAGGTTTTGAATAAATCTGTATCTTCCGTAAATGGAATAACCATTTAATATCTGCATTTTGTGTTGACTCATGTTGTCTTTATCTTATATCAAAATGAATTAGATGATCTGAAACATTTACTTGTGACAAATCAGCAAAAACAGAAGAAATTGGGTGAGGGGCAAATACTTTTTCACAGCACCGTACATAAGGCTCACCATGAAATTACCAGGGTCGCAACTTTGATTATCTGTGGAATTGTTTATTGATCCATTATGTTTTTTATTAATGGATTTATCAGGAAAAGAAGTGATGCAGTTATTAGTTTGTATATAAGTAACATTAAATGTTTAACATTAGACATCTGAAAACATGTAGGCGTTATTTCTCCTTTTACACAACGCCCTCTCACAAAGAAAACACCAACCCTGTCTTCTAATTCATGCTTGCAGCGAAACAAAGTGACTTTTATCAACCGCGTAGTAACAGATCTTCTAGGAAGCTCTTGAAAATATCTGTCTGTGTGGTTCATAACACTATAATCAAACCTGATATTAACGACCACATAGAAACAACCTGGTTATCAGCCATGCTAGACACACACAGTCCTGAAACTCAACGACATGCACGACCCTGCACTCCAGTCTTCACCATCTGCATTTTCTTTTAATTAAGTGACGTAAAATACATTCATATATATGTTCTGGAAATGTGAGCTTATTAGAGACTTCTGTAAAGTTGTAAATACTACTCTAACGAGAGAGTTAAATCTTAATTCTATCTCAATCCCTGCTCTTTGTTTACTGAATAATGGTGTGATTTCTACACTTAACCAATGCAGAAGTGATATTCTCTGGTTTTATTGCAGTGTGATCATTCAATTTTGGCTTACTCCTAATTTAAATAATGGGCATCTATATTGGGCATCAACGTGTTTTTGGCTATCCCTACTCCCACCCCCTTCTTTCCCCCAAATTGTCAACTGTTATTGGTCAACTATTTTACATATAAACAAAACTCAAAACAAAACTGACCACAAAAAAAAACATTAATTGTAATGTTAGATGGGAAGCATACATGCTGTCAAGTCAACTAATCAATAAAAATATTTTTATGGCAGCGATTTTTAAATAATCAATATTACCAATTTAATAGATTTGTTGCTGCAGCCCTAGAAATGACTGCTATAAGCTTATGCCTTCTGAAAGCCAGTCCTCACTGCACAGCTGCAGCTGCACAAACACCAAGGAAAACTGCTCCGATTTAATCTCCAGTCAAACAAACGGCATGTTATTGCTGGAGTGGCCAATCCATGGCCAAATCTGCAACAAGCAATTAAAATCCAACAGCCAAACATTACCGTTTAGAGTCATAATAAAACACGTGCTTTGTAATATTGAGCGCCACTCAGCAAAAGAGATGCTAAAATTTACTCATTTATCAATCTCAAGACACTATGTAAGGATTAAATGGTGGCCATAAATAGGGTAGCTTTCACTAAATCCCACGGGTAATACAGTAAACAGGCTGCTTCCGTGATCCCACATACATCCAATATCATTAAAAATAATGATGCCAAAAGGGTTCTTCCCTAAACAACTTTTCAATGTATAGCTCTTTAAAGAAACATATAGATGTTAATAGGTTCCTAAATAGTTCTTGGCTTGGATGTTTGGTTCTATTTAAAACCTTTACTTGGTATAGCACCTGTATCTGGGAGTTCTTGAAACTTTTAAAACGCTCTTCCCACTCACTCCATTCACACATCTCATTTACACAAAGAACAATTCAGTACAAGGCTCCTAAGGGAAACAAAAGTGATTTTTTTACCATGGCATTGTTCCAAGAACCCTGTTGGCCCCTTTATTTTTAAGACTGAATCTTTCCTGGCTGGCTGAAAAGTGCCAGAAGCACATGTAATAAGCAGGGTTGAGGCCAGATAGCTCAAGCTAAGCTGTGTTTAACTTGATTGTACTCTCTGTTTGAGACAGCTGCCAGGGATCTGTGGCAGGGAAACAGCTTTGACTTCACACAGCGATGAGCATTCTTCAGCCTTTTGCAGTATATCCTCTGAAATATGAAGAAACAAACATGCAGAGCACTTAACACACATATAAGACATATTAGCTGCTGTAGGCAGCGGGGTGCCAGAGCTCACCAGAGGGGGGTGCGACGCCATGTGTGCAGGGTAGGAGAGGGCCAAGCAGCCAGTTGGAGCTGTTGGCAGATAGCGGCAGCATGGCGAAATAATCACGGTC